GGTTTCACGTTCCAAAGGCGGTGCTCAAATTTGTTTTGACAGGGCCTGCCTAACTTTTTTAAAGAAGTAAGGTGGTGACGAATTCAAGGAAGTAGCATAGATTTCTTGAGGGCGTTGCTTTAAGAGAGACCATAATATGGAGTTAAAAGGGGTTTGTAGCCTTTGGAAACTTCAAATGTTTGTTATTTGGGTGGGGTATTTTTGACTGCGTTTCGTGCTCTTCAAGTAACTGTTTTAAAGATAAAATTCTCGTTCGGTTCAGCGCATGTCCGCCCTCTCTTTCTGGAATGTTAGATCTGACCTATTTATCTCAGCAAGAACTGTTGGGTGTGTGTGTGTGTGTGTGTGTGCGTGTGTGTGTGTTTGTTTATTTGTTTGTGTGTGCGTGCGTGTGTCTGTACAATATTAAAACCGTGTCTGAAATTGTAATTTTTAAAGGTTTTTTTTCTTATCTTTAAGGTTTCAATAAGCAATGAAAGTATTCTTTTTATATGACAGTGTCAGATTGCCCTCGTCTCAAGAGTCCATTAATGTTGGCTGATTTTCTTCATACTGTGCCAAAAAACGTGCGAAACTGTATCGATTCCCCTCCTTTTCCACCTTCCTGTGGCGTGTTTTCTACGGATCTGGCGGGGTTCCATATTGCAAGATCATGACAATATTTCTTTACTATCACTTTTGGAAGCTACGGGTATTTTTGTACTTATTAAGCAGGGGGAATAGCCAGTGTACGCGAGGGGTCATGCAGTTGCGGGGGTCCAGTTGTCGAAGCGGCCATAACTCCGGGCTGCTGTTTTTAAGCGAAGCTTTTACGAGCACAAGCGTTGAGAATGGCGGGTTTTACAGCCCGCGACCAGCAGTGTGGAAAGGGTTATGGGAAAGTAAAAGGTGACCGTGAGCTGCTGCAGTGGCTATTGAGATAGGGGACTAGAGACTAGGGGGATGCCTGCCAGTGGTGGAGGTGGTGGTCAGAGGTTGAAGAAGAAGAAGAAGAAGAAGAAGAAGAAGAAGAAGAAGAAGAAGAAGAAGA